GTGTGTACTCTTTCTAGCATAATGGAGCCCTGATCTCTGATTGTGGTCTCTAGTTACTACTATAAAACAAGTAACTAATAAATATAGTTTAAGGAACATGGTTTTTCTGAGTTCCTAAACATAAAACAATAATTCTAGAGAGATGTGTGTAAATGACAGCATAATGATCTCATTAGGTTTCCAATCTCTCTGCCCCTGAATTGTCTCCAGTAACTATGATTTAAGAAGAGCTTCAGTCTCTTGGTGTAGTAAGAGAATATGTGTCACTCCCAAATTGAAACTTAACGGGATAAATTAAGGAACATTCTAATTTAAATCTTGTTTGGAATCTTTTTGGAAGCTGTGAATGTGAATCAGTATTTAAGTAGAGCGGTGGTATATTCAGGGCACAAAGAAATGTGTGCATCTTTAAGCATAAGCAGTCAAATCCTTTTTGATGCTCTTGAGTCTAATGCAATCCTACAACATAAAACAACTACTCATCCCACAGTCCCTTTAGAAGTGATCACTTGAATGAAGCAGCCTATTTCCAAACAAGCTAGGTTAATGGCCATTAATGTTGAAGAGTTTCAAAGTTTGTTGTTTCTGTCTCTTCCCCGACAGTTTATCATTAAAGCTAATCATTCCGACATCCTGAATGTGCAGCTGATTTTCTACTTCCTTAACACAATGGGCTAGATTCTTTGCTATGTTTCCTGAGAGATGCAGCACAGAACATGCGGGTCAGAGTCAGGGAGACAGAAATTCAGCTTTATGCCACTTTTGCATTGCCGAGATTCCGAGTTACTGCAGGGCTGAAACAACCCCTGGTGTAGATTGCTCTGAAGCCCATAATCCCACAGTTATGTGCACTGTGACCACCACATCTCCTCATGTCTCTGACCTACAAACACCCCTGTGCTGGAAACTTATGAAGGGGCCAGCATAGAGCTACTTTACCTACAATGGGAAAATTTCCCCCCCATCCAACTGTGGCTCATTTATGGTGGTAAAGCGGCTGGATTGGGGACCATCATCTGGCTTAGTGTCTTTAATATTTGCAGTCCTTCAGTATTTCAGGACTCTAACGTTTTAATGTAAGCTTTCAGCAGTCTAGATGTTAGAGGGCCTCTCTAAGCCAGCTAACACTGACTGACTCCTTACTTTCCATCTAACCGAGTGTTCAGACATCATGGGGAGATTTTCAAAGATGCAAATGGGATTTAGGCGGCTCAGTACTTTTCACTAGGGACAAACACCTTTGTTCCTTTGAAAATCTCCCCCTACAATAAAAAGCACACTTATTTCATACATGAATAGCAACAAGTTCCCTCCTATTTTATCACAAATACATAACATAATATAATGAAACCAACTTCATTCCTAACTTTATGTCAAGGGCCAACAGCTAAGTCAATGATCCTCCAAAAAAAATACAATGGAGCTTTCACTTGTAATGGATTAGTTGATGTACTCCCCTCAACACCATGTCCTCACCCAGTTTTGGCACTCTCTCTTTTCCTTCTTTCTGTCATGATGCCCTTCTTGTCACATGGACATTCTCTCTTTTCCTCTTTTACAAGTTATTTGCTGCCTCTTGAGTCATTCTCCCCTCTAGCCTCGCTGGTAGCTCTAATCTGCCTACCTCACTAAGAGCTACGTTGGTTCCATCCAGTAGACATCCACTGGTTTCACCCAAAGTTCAGCTGAATGTCACAGGAGAAGAGAAGCCTGGACCGGATGGCAGCCTGAGTTTTCAGCTTGGTACTGTACTGGTGAGCTCCTTCTATAGCGAGCTACAATAGAGGCACTATGATGGGGAGGGAAGGTGGATGGCTTTCAGTGAGCCACTTCCTGCTGTACCTAATGACATGGCAACACATTTGCAGAATGTCTGTAGAAGACAGGGATCTGCAGCCCTTGTAACTCACCCCACTCACACTGATCCGCTCCTTTACTCCTCCCTGAACTAGTCTGGTATCCTCAGTTTGGGAAACACTGTTCAAAACATTGAAATGCATAGTAACAAGCCAGTGATCTGGAACTGCAAAATCAAGGTACCAGTGGGTTGTCCAGCCAAATGTGACATGGTGACACTACCCATGAAGCCATTGCCTAACTCATCACACATTCCTCAATGTCTTATGTGCCATTTAAGGTACTTCCCTCATTGATTCACATTCTGCACCACTAACTGTTCAGGACCATAACTAGAAGTAACAGAAAATACAAGGGTAAACCTCCGACAAGATAGAACACACTGACAAATCATCCTGATACCTCCAAAAAAGACCACAAATACAGCAATCAAAGATGAAGACATATATGGACCCATCATGGGAGCACAAGTAATATAATATCTGCATCAAAGAGTATTTGCAGTCCCTATATACAGTGCTGCTCCATTAACATACAGGCTTTTGAGTCCCCAATGGCCACCCTTCCAATTTGGCTTCTCAGTGAGGTGTGCATTTTCTAGGGATGGTGCCAAATCTTTTATTCTTTTTTTCCAGAGTGTCTTCATGTTTAAGGTTTACATGAGGAGTATAGATATATTTCCCTATGATTTAGCATTTGACTTATGGGATATGAAGTGTACCTATGACAAGTTGCTAAACCAAATTCATGATGTGTAGAGACAAAACACACAGAGTAAGTGTCCCCTAGAGGTTCATGATTAATAATTGCATTGTCCCTGGACATATACTTCCAGATTCCTGATCAGGACTTTGGAACAAGCAAAGAAAAGAATAGCCCAGAGAATCTTTTCCATGTTTGATAGTGAGTTTAGTGCCTGCAGGGACAGAACTTTGACATAGGGCCATCATCTGTTCTTGGTTACTTTGATGTAAATATGCATTAATGCTATTGGAGTCAATAAGTTATTCAAGATTTATGCTGGTATTTCCAAGAGAAGAATTTGATTCATAATCAATAAAGCTCACTATGGAGACCCCATGCTTTGTAGCAGTGGACCCTCAAGTTCCTCTGCTGTCTCCAGATCCTCTGCATGAAATCAGTCCCACTCAAACCAAAAATATTCCTAGTGTTCTCCAAATTCTGACCCTCCCTCCCCTCCCCTCCCCTCATTTTCACAGCAAAATTACATTTCCACTGCAAGAGGTGTCCTCACACTTGCAGAGATGGAGGACATGATTTGTCCTTTAACTGCCTTAAGAAACTATGCTTTCTTTTTTATTTTGCTGTAAAAACAAAAGACCCTGTCAATGGATCGCCTTAAATTATGAAATTTAATACACCAGGATTTATAATTTCAGCATTGTAACATAGCAATCCAGAAATCAATGCATCATGAATCTGTGGAAGAACAAAGTAACCCAGGGATCGGCAACCTTTGGCAAGCGGCGGCCAGCACATCCCTAGGCCTGCGCCACTTCCCGCAGCCCCCATTGGCCTGGAGCGGTGAACCACGGCCAGTGGGAGCCGCGATCAGCTGAATCTGTGGACACGGCAGGTAAACAAACCGGCCTGGCCCGCCAGGGGGCTTACCCTGGAGGGCGCGTGCCAAAGGTTGCCAATCCCTGAAGTAACCTCACACAGCTTTTGGATAACAGGGCCTTCAGAAATCCTATGCATTTTAACTGTGCAAGTGTAGCAGGGACACTAAATCAATGAATAAAGTGGGAAAACATGGAAAATATCACAGAGTCATGAGAAACAGAAGCCTGGAACTGCAGTGAAACATACAGAATCAAGTTGATTGCGTGGCCAGATTTTTGACAGCTGTCCTTGACTTTGCAACCACAGATTTCTGTGATCACCACATCTGAATTTGTGGGCACAAACCAGACAGGCATATACAAATTAATCTGAATGGGCACAAATGTATTTGGGAGGTAGGTTAAGGACACTCTAAAAGTGTGGGCTACCATATTAACTGCTACAATATACAATGCAACAGCTGCCTCATTATTGCAGACTAATGGAATGCATTCCAAAAACATCCAGGAATTAAACATGGGATTCAAAATACAAAATTACACACTACATTTGAACCAATCAAATATAAAATGTCACCAACTGAGATTTAGAAACCACACAGTGAAGTACACAAACAAATAAAGTTATGGCTGGTTAACTATACCTTCTATTTTTATTATTACCATTTTTGTGCACCATCCCTGTGGTTGTTTTGCTTAAACCCAGTGGAGCCAGAAGAGGAAATGAAAACAATATATAAAAATATATGTACTGTATGGCTGTGGTTCCCCATCATGCTCCCCAACTAAGATTACATTTATTCCCCCTCCCTATATTTTCCAACGGGGATTACATAACTCATATTTTCTGACTTTTCTATTATCAGTTTTAAACTAGAATAAGAGGCAGCTCATAAAGTTAAATATTTTTGGTTCCTTGGGACCAATCACATCTGGAAATATTTTTTTGTAAATCTAGAAAAAACAATCTATCTAAAGATATAATGATACCATCACCCTCAAATTAACTGTGTGCTTTGCATCACTTAAGCACATGACTGGCTTAGTATTAAAAAGGTATAGCCAAACCTGTCAAAGCCTCTTAAAATACTTGTCTGTTTCAAGCCACAAGGAAGCTAGGGGGAAGGCAGATGTACAGCCTATAACTACTTACTAGGAAACAGAATCTTAGCTGTCCTGCTCTGGTACACACTTAAGACAAACTTTAGTTGCCCACCCAGAGGCAGCAAGCAGAGCTAGGTCAATGCTGTTAACAATAACAAACATGTCTATGAATCCTTTTTACATATAGTGATATTCACCTTCCTCCTTTCCCAACAGAGAGACAGCAATTTGGAAATTTCCCTCCCAGAAGGAAAATTATGCAAAAACCTGAAAATACCCCCCGCTCTCTTTGCTGTGTTAACAAATTGAAATGGAGATGAAGTTCTACATGGTAGGTTAGTTTATTTTGCTTGAACGGAGGTATTTTGCCAGTAGCAGTTTTTAAATCTTTAATCACTCAGAGAGATTAACAGCAAACCTGGAAAATGCAAGGAAACCTATCTATCAGAAACTCACCATAATGCATGTAACCATTGCCTTTGGTAGGATCCAGCTGAATAGCCTTCAAGAAGTACTTTTCTGCCTCACTCTTGCGGCCCTTAAAAAAAAAATAAATAAGACAGAGAGAGAGAAAATGGATTATCTTAACACTGAGTCACCCTGGACTCTCCATATGCTCCCACACTTTCCAAATTCCAGGCACTAGAGCAACACAGTCTACCATATGCTCCCACACTTTCCAAATTCCAGACACAAGAGCAACACAGTTACTATTGTTGCCAGATTCAGCCTAAGTAAATAGGAATTAAATGGGAAAAAACTTCATGAACAAATTTAAAGTCCACACATTAATAGATTCCAAGGCCAGAAGGGCCCACTGTGATCATCTAATTTGACCCCCTGTATAACACAGGCCATAGAATTTCTCTGAAAAAATCGTAGAGCAGGTATTTTTGGAAAAAAAAAATCCAATCTTAATTTAAAAATTACAAGGAGTCCGATAGCACCTTAAAGACTTTAAAAATGGTCATTCATGGAGAATCCACCATAACCCTTGGAAAATTGTTCTAATGGTCAATTACTCTTGCTTTAAAAAATGTCCTCTTCATTTCCAGTCTGAATTTGTCAATCTGCAACTTCCAGCCATTGGATTGTGTTGTACCTTTGTCTACTAGACTGAATAGCCCATTATCAAATATTTGTTCCCAACGTAAGTACTTATAGGCCAGGGATCGGCAACCTTTGGCACATGGTCCACCAGGGTAAGCACCCTGGCAGACCGGGCTGGTTTGTTTACCTGCTGCATCCGCAGGTTCGGCCGATCGCGGCTCCCACTGGTCGCGGTTCACCGCTCCAGGTCAATGGGGGCATCGGGAAGCAGCGGCCAGCACATCCCTCAGCCCGCGCCGCTTCCTGCAGCCCCTATTGGCCTGGAGCGGCGAAACACGGCCAGTGGGAGCCGCGATCGGCCAAACCTGGGGACGTGGCAGGTAAGCAAACCGTCTGGATGCTTACCCTGGTGAGCCGCATGCCAAAGGTTGCTGATCCCTGTTATAGGCTGTAATCAAGTCACCCATAACCTACTTTTCATTAAACTAAATAGCCTGAGCTGCTTGAGTCTGTCTCTCGAAGACATGTTTTCTAATCCTTTAAATCATTCTTGTGGCTCTTCTCTGAACCGTCTCTAATTTAATCAACATCCTTCTTGAATTGTGGACACCAGAACTGGACACAGTATTCCAGCAGTGGTCACAGCAGAGTCAAATATATAGGTAAAATAAACTCTCTACTCTGATGACAGCTTGTGCCCTTCCAGAACATAGAGTTCCACAACACTCAAACTTCAGAAAACCAGGAAAGACAAAATTAGGGTACATACCCAATAATCTTCTTTTTGCCTCCCTGGAGATGGCAATAGCCACAATTATCTGCATGCACTACAGCTAGATTTAGTGTGAGAGTGTAGCTGTACTGAATGGTTTGAATGGTGGAAGCAGGTTGGTACAGGTGTATTCAGAGATGGGGATTAGTTTGAGAAGCATCACAGAGCCGTGGTTGTGATAGGAGAGTGTGCACCTTGAGGAGATAGTCTGCATCATTTCATTGAAAAAATGTGTAGTTTGCTATAGTAGCAAGGCCCTGGGGGTAAGGGGGTCTTGCCACAGGAATTGTCAGTAGGGAGGTGAGATAAGAGACTTATCTACAGGTGTGCCGAAGGGTAAGGGAAAGCACAAGGTTAGATGGTATCCTGTAAGTGTGAAGTGATTAAATTTCACAAGTGCAAGCATTCCAGCAGGAGAGTAGGCTATGGCTGTTTCTACACTTAAATGTTTCAGCTGAATGAGAACACCCCAAGGAGATGACTAGAGCCTGAAACAATAATTCTGAAATATGTGAATGGCTCCATTCATGTCAGCAGGTGTTTTCCTCCCCTCTCCCCAGTGCTGGAAAGCCTGTGATATGCAACAAGCATACCCATTCTCAACTCCTTCCCCAGTGTCTGCAGTGTGTTCTCAGTGCATGCTCCAGTATGCCTGTTCTCGGTTGCACATGCAGAGGGGAGCTTCCCCAGATCCTGTGTGCATAGCAGGGGGGAGCAGGAAGAGAGAGGTATGCTCAGACCCCTTAGAAGAACAAGGCTCCCAGATCTCAGCTCAAATGAGAGGGGCCAGACCCCCATAGATGGGCTGAGGGTCCCCAGATTGTGGCACACACACAGGAGGGCAATGTAGGGCTGACAGGCACCTCTGCCCCTATTCCCCCCCACACGCCCCCTCTCCCTTCCTGGCTCTCTAACTCCTCTCCTACCCACCCATTCCCATTTATTCTCCTCTACATAATTCCCTCACTACACACCAAATCCCTCTCTCCCCATTTCTAACTACTCTTCCAGCACTAATCATCCTCCCCTGTCAGCCAGCATTTGCAGGTATCATTTATTTTCTTTTCATAAATAGTTTCAAACATGTTCTGCTATATTCGGATTAAATCCATTTCCCAAAAATAATGTAAAAAACCCACACTCCTCTGACAGCAGCAGATTGGAGCAATATTTCAGATTTTTGCCCTCAATTAGATTTGAACTCTCAGTGCCCATTAGGTGTTCGGAGTCAATGGCTGAAACAGTCCCTCAGCGCCTTACAGATCCTGTGAATCTTAGGTGCCTCTCAACACACTTGGATGCTCCTTTTTGCACACGTCCTGTGTCATGCATTAAGTGCATCCCTTAGACATGCTTGCTGGAACACTTAACTGGAAAAGCAAACTCTTCTTCTAATAACGTTTTAATTTGGTTTCCTCTGGAGGGCTGGTTGGTGTCATGCTCTCTGTTGGGATAACCTTCAAGTGTTTGAGACTCTGCTGAGATTATCTGAGCCCTGGTTTGATCTCTGTCTGTGTGCCAAACTACATTGCCAGAATGTATCAACTTTAAGAAAAGCTGTTTCCCCCCCCCCAGGGGCTGTATCTCAGGAACATCTTGTTCAAATGATCCCAAACTTAGATCACTGACCAAACCCTGCATCCCCTGAGACACACGAAATTTCAAGGCAATCCAAATAACCATATGGATTTTAGAGCTCTTACAAGAGTCAAGCTTTAAACAAAAAGCCCGTCTTGACCCTAACTATAGCAGAGCTGCTACAACATTCAAGGGTTACAACAAGTTTTGGGGTTGACTATTTTATGCTGCCGATCTCCAGGCACAGAGAGAAATGTGTTCAACACTATCTATGTTCAGGATCTAAGGAAAAGGTGGAAATCCATTGTAATAAATATTGTAAAGGACCTTGGTAAATTGTGTGCTAATTTTCTGGACAAGAGTCAGGATAAGCAGAACTCCAAAACTAAACGGTGGTATGAAAATGAATGTTAGATACATTCATATGCTAAAAACACATGCACTGACTTCATCACCTAGAACTGTGGACACAGGATTTTGTAAAATCTCTTATATTTGGGTTCTACATTTATTTGCAGAGATATTAAAGTGCAACTCTCTTTCACACTCATATTAAAAAAAAGATTTCATGGGAAGTAAGAGCTTTGCAGGTCAATATAAAATATAAAAGTGATACCAATCTTTTAAGGAAAATGTCTTGGACCTGGGTGAACTACCAAAGCTCTGACGAGAAAGGCAAGAGAAAGACACAGAAACAGTTGTCAAGTTAACAGAGCATTTGTTAATAAAAATCAACAGTACCTTTTGTTGTTTAGTACTCCAAAAGCACTAAAACCAAGCACTATCACAAGCCCAGGGACAGAGGAAATCTACGGCTTATTACTCTTTCCTCATGGAGAAAATAGCCAAACTGTATTGTACCAATAGTTTGGTATCCTGTCTCAGACACTAGCCAGTATTATGCAATAACATGCCTATGACTGCAGTTTATTCCTAGTACCAAGCAGTGAGTTGGTTTGTATTATGAGATATGAGCGCCTCAGAATTAAAATGACGTATTTTAATTAAATGCCGCTGATGTGGAAGTAAGACTTCTTGATCTATAATTTTCAGGATTGCCGAGTGCCATTTTAAAGATACATACAACATAGCCTACCCCAGGGGTCGGCAACGTTCGGCACGCGGCTCACCAGGGTAAGCACCCTAGCGGGCCGGGCCAGTTTATTTACCTGCTGACGTGGCAGGTTCGGCCGATCGTGGCCCCCACTGGCCGCGGTTCGCCGACCCGGGCCAATGGGGGCAGCGGGAAGCCGCGGCCAGCACATCCCTCGGCCTGCGCCGCTTCCCGCCGCCCCCATTGGCCCGGGACGGCGAACCGCGGCGAGTGGGGGCCGCGATCGGCCTAACCTGCCGCGTCAGCAGGTAAATAAACTGGCCCGGCCCGCTAGGGTGCTTACCCTGGCAAGCCGCGTGCTGAACATTGCCGACCCCTGGCCTACCCTATAATCACTTGGTAAAGAAGCAGATTTTAATCAGATTGAGTATTGCATGCATTCTGTACTGCGAGCATTTATCCCATAATGTAGCATTCAAACAATAACAAGAATTGCTCATAATTATCACTACCCCAAATCCTCAGCCCACGCCGCCTCAACAGCCTGAGAAAAGAAAAGGGGCTTTAAGTGAATCCAGAAAATTAACAAGTGCAGGTGAAGATGGTGGGGACAAATTTCAAAGTCAAGGTCCCCTCTCAGAAGACACCCTGCCAGAAGCCTCCTTATTTATACTACAGGGGATCCATAAGGTATCCCTCATGAAAGGGAAGAATTTGGCCCTTATTGTCCAATAACATTATCCTCAGTTTCCAATCCTCATACTTCAGACCCCTTTGTCAAGCCTTTGAACAGATATTGGAAAATTAATCCTTCCCAGTTACCCACAATGCAAGCGACTGCTACCTCCTAACCGCTGCAATCACATGATAGATGAGGCTTGTTTACATTTAGATGCTGAAGCACCTTTCATCCCAATTTTTTTTTCAAAAGGAACATATATTGTACAAGCATACAGCGATCCCTTCCTCCACCAGTGAAATGGAGCTGCCTCTGTGGGAGAAAGGCAGCAATTCTTTTTAAACAACATGCAGCAATAGTTCAGCACAAGAAGTAAAGAAGAATGGCGTATCCAGTTGAAACTAC